TACAACAAAAAAGAAGATGTTTGCAACAAAAATGAAAATCATCCATCGGTCCCTTTTTGAGAAAATTGATTTTTTCTACAAAATCGCATGATTCCTCGCTTTTGAATAGTTTCATGCAAATAATGTTTAAAATTGCATATATATATATATATACTCTGGTCCAGGAGAAATCGATATTTTTCAGGACGAATTTGGGCCCTTTACGCGCAGAAAACTATAAAAGGAGGCGTATATTATTTTCCGTTTCAGCAAATAAGCTTTCTCTTTCAATTTCTTTTAAATTTGAAGAAACATGTTTATTGACAACTAAATTTTTTTTATCCATTTTAGGGTCGTTTAGATTTTATGGCATTTTGGTGCAAAATAAAAAATATTTAAATCCAAAGAAATAATTTTTTAAATATTAAATTTACCATTTGCAGATTTTGACGATTCCAACTATATAAATTTTTACGTCTAAATATTAAAATTTGCTTTTGGAAAAGTTATACGATTTCATGATTTACATATGTACAAACTCTAATCTTATAGTATTTGCAAAAAAATTTATACCGTTGTAATTGTTTTAACCTGTACATTGCAAATATAATATTTATATAATTATTTTTTGAAATTCCAACATTTTTTAATTTTGCAATGAAAAGCCATAAAACCATAAAAGATCCTTCCGACCAGGCTCGCAGGTCACAAAAATTTTAAATATGTTTGCTTGATTTTAGTTTTAGGAAAAGCAACACATGTTACAATCCGTTTCATATCATTGCCCGCGTGAAAATGGCAACTGTGGGAGTAGTATGGGTTAAAATTTTTTAAGATTTTATCCATAGTTGGGCCACTATGGGGCAAGTATGGGTTTTGTCCAAATCCCATAGTCAAACTTTGGCCATTTACTAGTCCAACACTTGATAATATTTCTCCGCGAGTTGGGCCATACTATGGGTCAAGTATGGGGTTTCTTAAAATCACTTGATTTAATTTTAGGATAATATTTTTTTGAATTTGAACCACTTTTTAAACAATTATTACACAAAAAATGTATAAAAAGCATATATTTTCATTATGAATATTATTAAAATAGTTTCAAGAACTTTTGTTAATATTTCAATAGTATAATTTACTATTAAATATGAGTTGCAAAGAAAAAACTCTTTTTTGAAAGCAAAAGTTTGTAAATATATTTTTTAAATATTACATTTTTTAACATTAATCCAAATTATTCTATAATCTTACTCGTCTTCAATTGTATTAACTGGTTCCGCAATATAAGATACAATTCCATTTTTACGTACAATTTCACTTTTAAAACATACAGTACTTAAACAATTTAAATCCAAAATATCAATTTCATTTGAACTTGCTTCAACTGTATGTATAAAATTTATGCCTATAGCTGGCAATGCAGTCGAAGGATAACTAAGGTTTGACTCATATTTTTTTATAACTACATAGTAGTTAGAAGGACATTGGCAACCATTTCTACAGTGACAGCGTAAAACTTTTAAAAAAAGATGAATTTGTCCGAATTGGAATGCATTATCACTGTCAATGTATTTTACAAAACTCGAATTTGTACATTTCGCTTTAGTGTATATTTCTGATGTAAACAAAATATTGTTTTTATATAATTTTTTAAAAATTACATGCTTTGTTCCTGCAATTCCTCTATCAATAAGAGCCCTTAAAATTACATTATTGACCCGTAAATTAGAAAGTGCACCAACGATATATAAAGATTCGCCAATAGGTCGCAATTTCATTTGCTTAGTTGGAGATAAAAATTTTTTACAAAATGCATAAGCAGTACCTTCAACGTTAAGTAATTCCTCATGCAAAGTAAATGTATTTATAAATAACGAGGCTCCAAAATAAATTTGAAGCTGAGCGCATTTACTCCCATGAATTAAATATTTTAGCATTCCGTTTATGCTTTCAAAAGTAAAACAATGATAAACAAAAAGAGGGCCCAGGAGTTCAACAACAAGGGTTAAATGTAAGACAGAGTGGACATTGCAGGTCATATTTTCTAAATCGTATAGGTATTCAAATCTGGAAACGAATTCATGAAGCATTCTGTGAGCATTGTCTAACATTTCAAGAGATATGCTTGGTTGGCAGAGTAAGTATATCGCAGCAATTAATAATTGTAAGTGTTCAAAATACTCCTGAGGTAACAAATCTTCTAAAATTGGAAGAGAGTAATAGAAGAAAAACGTTTTATACATTGACGCCTTCCAAAGTTTAATGTGACTCTTTATTGAAAGCAATCGCCTTTGAATAAAGTTTGGAGGACGAAGCGATTTAATTCTTTCGTCAACGACATCCACAGTTTCGATAATAGAAAAACGTTTTCCAGAAAATTTAGGATCAAACCAAAATGCCATTAATGATTTTAATACGCCTATAAAAACCATGTGCATAGAGTCAAGTGATGTGGTTGTTATCCATTTGTACACTATATTGGACAAATTCGTTCGACCCTTTACCCCGAAACTTAAACTTTCAGCGTGTCGTAGAGTATCTTCTTCATTCCGAAGAAGCATATTTCTTCTATAGGGATATACTTGTCGATTTCACAATCTTATTCCCTCTTGCAAACATTTATGGCACCCGAATCTTCCATTATATTGTTTCATGTTCAAAAACAAAGCCTTTGCTGGAAGATCACAGGAGCCACAAATGATTTTTCCTTTCACAAGTCTCGAATCTTCGTTATTTGGCAGTCTCATATCAACGCCATGATCCAATTGAACCATTTCGTCATATAGAGGAGACAGGAATAAATTTGGAAAAGGTTTTTCATCGCCAAACCACATACCAGCCAAAATTAGATTTTCTTTCTTAAATCTTTCTTTATATGGCAACTCATTTATAATTAAATAAAAGGGCCAGAATGAAAACTTTGATGTTTTAAAACCTTTTACACGATCAGTATACCATGAAAACGATATATTATTTTTATTTGACAAAAAACCACCAGACTCACTTAGTTCCTTATATACACTTCCGTCATAAATGTCCTCGATATTATTTGGAGCTAATTTCTCACGATGAAATCTGTGCTGTAATTTTTGGTGAAAGCCATTTCTCAAATAAAGAGCTTGGATTTGATCGATAACAGAAATGGATAGAAAATAGTTGGAATCTATTGCTTGCAAACATTCAGGACATTGATTAACTTGTTGCTCAAGAAAAGTTAAGCAAATTGGACAATAAAATTGTCTCGTAACGGGTATATGTAAATTTTCAAAACATTGTTTAAAGGCATATAAACTAGTTCGGCAAAAATTGGGTTCGGGACAATGCAAGGCTATTAGTTGTAAAATACCCCCTAGAACTACTCCTGATAGAGAAAATTTTAAGACCAGGGAAAGAATAGCTAAAATGCTCTCTGTTACAGTGATAGGAGATCCCTCGTATAATGGTGGATCGTCTTCTTCGATTTCATTATCGTTTCCAAAATCATTTTCAGCATCGGTGGTAGGTTCAGAGCTACGATCAGAATCTATATCAGCTTCATCAAAATCACTAATTGAGTCGTAATCAGTGCTGCTCGCAGAAGGGGGATCGATTTCATTATCTGAGTTTACCTCTTCATCATGGTTGCCTAAAAATATCAAAGAATTGTTAGAAATATTTATATTTCTCTTTCATTTAAAAAAATTTTAATTTTTTAACAATACGAAAAAATGGACGTGAGGACGCATAAAAAATATCGGGCAATAAAAACGGATCGAATTGAATGGATGGAAATAAAGAATAGCTTAAAGGTTATGAATTCAATCCCAAAGAATTACGAAAAAAACGACACCGACTTATGTTGCGGGATGAAAAATAAAATGGATAAATTAAATTAAATTTTGTTTAAAATATCTTTCGTAAAATCTATAAAAGCTATTTTTCATTATATTCTCATTTAAAAAATTTTTTTTCGCGCTTTTAATCAGTTTTTTAAAATTTATTATTCCACTATTTTAGAATAATACTTCTTCTTTTTGCGAAAGTAATTATTTTCTAATTTGGAGTCGTGCGTTAATGGCATTATGAAGTTTATTTTGGGGGATTTTATTAGGAATAAAAGTGTAGATAAGTGATGATTTATAGGAAAAATTGCATGACCATTTAGCATCACTGTCATACGGGCGAGAATGAAAATTCAAGTTCTAATGCGAAATACTTCAAATACATAGTGAATTATTACACATTTGTAAACAACTTTTTTTATTTTTTTTTCTTTTCCTCGGCAAAGAAAAAAAATATTATGAGAAATGTAAAAATGGTTGCACAAAATGAAAGTTTTTGTTATTTTTTAATTTTAAGAGAGAAATAATTATATTTTGTGCAAATAAAAAAGTTAATTTTTAGTGATGAATTAAAAATAATAATAATAATAAAAAATTAATTAATAAATTTAAGAGTGAAATTATTTAAGTCCTGTATTATACCTTGGTTATTTATTACGCCATTATCACTATTAACATTGGAATTATCGCTGCCAGAGACATCATCATTATCATCGCTGTAAGAGATATCATTGTCATCACTGCTAGAGACATAATTTTCTTCAATACTATCGGTCTAATTTATTATAAAGAAACACAAGTTAATATTTTAAAATAAAATAACATAGACTTCATAAAATTTTACAAAAAATTAATACATTAGAAACGTCGGAAAAATCTGAATCTTCTGCCAAATCGTTGGCAATGCGCATTTGTGTTCTTCTGCTCAATAATTCAAAATCTCGAGAACGTTGCATTTTAAAATATAATCTGCAAACTACGTAGAATAATTTAAATTGAAAAATTTCAAAGCAGTTCGATTTGTCGAATTTTTTTTGACGTTTATTTGACGTAAAAATAATGAAATGAGTAACGAAACATTCAATTGGAAAATTAGAATGACATGAAGTCTATTAGCATGTTGCCCTTAGAAACCAAGTGTCATTTACAAATTTGACAGAACAAACAAATTTATTTAACGTTTTCCTAAAACATTTAAAAATGCCAGGAAAAATTTATGTGCTTTTGCAATGGGTGGATAAACCGAATGCAATCACGATTATGGAGGAAACTGAAGATGCGAAGAAAGCAAACGAGGAAGAAATTATTCAAATAAAATATCCCAACAAAGGAGTCTTTAAAGCAATTCTCCTTCACAGAAGTGGTAAATATTAGAATTTTGAATTATAATTATTATCAACTTAAAATTATTATTAATTATATTTTTCTTTATTATTACTATTATTATTATGATTATTATTATTATTATTATTATTTTATCATAATAATTATTAAAAATAGCTATTTGCCAATTTAAAATTCCCGGGATTTAAACGTTTTTTTCCACTTTTAAAAATAATTTTCGCGAATAATTTTAAATTGCAATAATACAATTTAACATTTTTTTAATTTTTCAGTACGATGTAAACATTTTTTTTATACAATCTAAAATTTTACCTTTCTCTAAATAAAGAAATTCAATTATTTTTTAATTTAAAATCAGAGGTTTATAAAAATTTTTTTCTCGATAATTAAAGCATAAAATATAACATTTTAAAAAAAGAAAAATAAAAATATCGTTTCTTTTCAAATTTTGGTTTTAGAAAAAAGTCAAAACTATTTGTTTTTCAAACCAAGGGTGGAAATGCGTTTAAAAAAGATTGAAATTTTTTATATTATTTGAAAAAAAATATTTACAGATTTAAAATAAATTTTAGGGGTTATTAAATTAATATTAAATTTTATTTAATTTATTAAATTAAATTTATTTAATTATTGATTAATTAAATTAATCTATTTCTTTGAATTATAAAAACAAAATAAATTTTAAAAACTAAGATTTATAATTTGTAAAATTACAATTTCTTACCATTTTTACGTGCTTTATAGAGTCAAAAAGTTTCTTAGAAAAACTCAGTAAAAATGTCAATAAAGACGGGACCATCACGGCAAAGAAAAAAAATACTTCAAAAATCGAAAAATTTAAATCTCAGTCAGCGAAGGAGAAAGCCGAATCAAAACTGAAAAAGAAAATGAGAGCTCAAACTGCATCAAAATTAGAGGATAAAATTTCTGAAATACATCCAATTTGTGGTAAACAATATTGTTTGTTAAAAATGTGTAACTATTTACATTGAGATTTTTCAAAACTATTATACACAATTTCATAGTGAATAAACAATAATAATTCTCAAAATGAATAAAAATAAAAAAATCATTTACAGAGTTAATAAAATTATACAAATATAAAAGTAGCGCACATAATCCATAATTACATTTGATATTTATTTGCATTATTATATAGAAGATAAACGTAAGAAAACCACTGATTCGGCTGTTAAGAATATTCTCGTAAATGATTTCGACGATAATCAGAAAGACAATGGAATGAACAACGAAAAAATTGATGTCGTAACAGTGAACAGAAATAATTTAGATTCAAGTGATCTCGAACATGTAAAAACCCATTCGACATTGGACAAGGAATCAGAAAAACCCTCAAAGTTTAACAACAAAAATAAAAAATCATCACGAATTGGTGATAATCTACATTTTTTAACCATTAAGTTAAAATATATTTAACTTCGCACATAACATAGGTCATCAAGTTAGGGAAAGGGGTCCACATTAAACCTGCGCTTAATTATCAGACGTAAAATTTCAACCTATACATATTAACGTTGCGTTGGTTATAGTAGTCAAATTTTTTTCTGATATGAAAATTTAAAAAACAATTAACTTGATAATACTAATAATAATAAAAATAAAATAATAGTAATAAAATTCAAAATTTTACAAAAATTATTCTATCATAATTTTCATTATTTTTTTATTGCCGAATTTGTTTCACGTATTTTCATGATTCTGAACAATCAAGCGTATGGGTTTAAAAAAATTTTTTTAAAGTAAAAAATGTGTAAAATAGTTAAATAAAATTTTTTCAAATTTTTCATAATAAAATATTATGATTTCGGGTTCTAAAATAATTTTTTTAAATTTTTTACCCCTAAACAAGTTCAACTTTGATTCGTTAATATTTCACTGTTGTTTCCTTAAAAATTTAACTTTTTTCACAATTTACGTTATTTTTCATTGACAAATATTTGATACGCTTTTTTCGTAATTTTGAACAATCAATCGTATGTCGGAATATTGATCTGAATTCGGACAAGAATTTCTAATCCGAACCTGTATAAAAATTATCATCATAAATTTATTTATACATTATTTATAATTTATTAATAATAATAATTCTTAAAATAAATAAAATATGGAAATCAATTGAAAGTTAGAAAAAAGTTAAGAGTTAAAAAAATTATACATATAGGGGTTGCGTACATAATCCTTAATTAGATTTGATATTTTTATAGAAGATAAACGCAAGAAAACCACTGATTCGACTAGTAAAGATATTTCTGTAACTGATTCCGATGATAATCACGAAGACAATGGAATAAGCCACAAAAAAATTGATATCGTAACAATGAACGAAGATAATTTGGATGCAAGTGAACCTGAAAATGTAGAAACCCATTTGACATTAGAAAATGAATCGGAAAAATCCTCAAAGTTCAATAAAACTAAAAAATCATCACGAATTGGCGGTAATCCAAATTTTTTTTAAACATTAAGTTTACATTTTTTAAAATTCGCACATAACATAGGTCGTCAAGTTAGGAAAAAGGGTCCACTTTAAACTTGAAAAATAAAAAATTCTTAAAATAGTTAAATATAATTTTTTTTGGAATTTTTTCTAATAGAATATATGATTTCAGGTTTTAAAAAAATGGATAAAAATTTTTTTACCCCTAAACACGTTCTATTTTAATTGGTTTAAAACTTTTACTGTTGCTTCTTTAAAAATTTAGCTTGTTTCACAATTTACGTTATTTGTCATTAGGGCAAATTTTTTACACTCGTTTTTTCGTAATTTCGAACAATCAATCGTATGTCGGAATTTTAATCTGAATTCTGCCACGAATTTCTAATTCGAATTTTTATAAAAATTATCATCAGAATTCTGATTAAAATTCTAATAAAAATTCAAATAGAAATGTTTCATTAGAATAACGAAAATTCTTAGGACACTTTCCTAGAAGTCTTTTTATGTGGGTTTATATGACGATACGTAAAATAATTTATGAATATATTTATAGAAAATCTGATCAAAACAAAAAGTCAATCAGAAAGTAAGAAAGCTCATTTAGCATTGAAGAAAAGAATGAGAGCCCAAACGAATAAAATTATGGAAAAACATATATCTAATTTTTCATCAATTGATGGTATACAATAATTTTTATTTTAATGTAAAAAATGGTAAATAATAATTTCAAAGTGATTTTTATATTTACACATGTAAATATCATTAAATAGATAAAAACCCCGATCAAGCAGCTGATCGTGTGAATAAAACGACAAAAAAACAGATCTTGGAATTGCCTTCAACATCAAAATTGCCTTCAAAAACACCCTCAACTTTGGAATTGCCTTCAACATCAAAGTTGCCTATTCGAAATCACCCTCAACTTTAGAATTGACTTCAACTTCTAAATCCTCTTTAATTAACGAATTGTCTTTAACTTCCGGTTTATCGTTATCTGACGAATTCCCTTCAACTTCCGGTAATTTAAATTAAACACATTTCATATTAAATAATCTGTAATAATAATTAAATCAACGAAATTATTTTGTTTATTTTGAACTGTACAAATTTAAATTTGTCAAATAAGTAACTTTCTTTTTAATTTGTACAAATTCACATGTTATTTATTTAATTTAAAACTTAAGATATCAAATCTTAAAATATTTTTAAATATTATTTAATTTTATTTGAAATGATTTAAAAAAATTATATGCTAATAATTACACATTTAAAATAATTAAATTTATTATTTTCAATAACGGAAATTTAAAAAATTAAATGTATTAGATAAGAAAAGTGAAGATCTCTTCGATGAGACCAACAAAAGTGGGGAATTTTCGAATTCAATTTTGAATGCTCTCATTTCAAACAGTAAGAAAGAAAATTATTAATCATAAATGGTATTTAAAAATAGGGTTAAAGCCAAATTCAGAGATATCTAAAACTTCCCGATTAAATACTTTTAAGAGAATATAATAAATTTTTTAAGAAGTCAGCCATATTGAATTCGCCGTTTTCAACTTTGAAAAACTGGTATTAAATTTGAATTCAGCGACAGCTAAACATTTATAAAATTGTAGTTTTCATAAGGTCTTAGCTCAATTTACAAAACTTTTAACCGTAATATTGGATCCGTCTGTTTGAATTTTTTAAAATTGATATCAAATTCATAATCAGCAGCATTGAAAAATATAGAGTAACGATTTTAATCTGATGAAATTTTAAAAACTTCAGATCAGTTTAAAAAAAATCCTCCACACTGTATTTCAAATATTATTTGAAATTATTATTTCTATTTCACTGTATTTTTCAAATTTTCAAGAAGCTAACATTGAATTTTTAATTTGCGACCACGAAAACTCACAAATATTAAATTTCGTGACCTTTAATATATTTTTTGAATTTGTTATATTTTATCAACAATTTTCAAGGCCCCATTTTGAATTTTGAAAAAATTATTTTTCTTTATAATGTCACTATGTGAAAGTTCTAACATTTTGGCTGCAATATTTTGTGATTCCAAATTTATTTTTTTTAACGTGGACGCGATTCGAAAATATAGTTTAAATAAAAAAATTAAAAGTTCATTTTTTTATTCTTTATTTATTTATTTATTATTCATTTTTTTTTATTATAATTTCCCTCGAGGTCAAAATTTAAATTTTCTTGTATATTTTGAATATTTTTGAGAACTAAATTTAGCGCATATTAAAAGTAATTTTTCTGAATCTTTTTCAGTTACACCAGAATTTGTCAATGGTCTAGAGATCTTATTAAAATTTGCTAAAACAGTTGTAGACAAAAATGTTGAAGTAAATTCTCCTGTGAGTCCTCCTTTTCAAACTTTCATTTTTGGTTACAAATTAAATTTTATTAAATAGTTTTTCCTTCTAACAGATAATGAATAATGTCATAAAAAGAACGAATATGGTAGAGTTGTTCAAAGGATCGAGTGTTTTAATAAACGAAAATAAATTATTTTTGATGAAACGCTTCCGGAACAATCCGAGAGAGTTGACTCGGCAACTTATGTTGGAATTGGTAGGAGCGAAAAGTTTAAAAACTATGACAGCATTGGGGAAAAAAGGAAACGCAATTCCCGAAAATATAAGGGTCGATGTTTATAGTTAGTATAAAAAAATACATAAAAATATTTTTTTTGTATCATACCTTATTTCATCTGAAATCATTAAATTTTAACAAGTAAATTTTTATCAATTTCTCTAAAATAAAATCAATTTTAAATAAAAACAAATTAAATTTATAGAATATGTACACGCAAGAAACAAACATTTTACGGAAATAGAATATATTTCTGTTATAAATTATCAGTGCGGGACATTACCCTTTTGAAAATCCCCACATGGGAAACCACATGGGATCCTATGTCAAAAACCATGTAAAACCCCATTCCCCATATGGGAAACCACATGGGATCCCATATAAAAACTCATGGGAAATTGGGACAGGAATTGGCATAGGAAAATATCAAAACGAGGTTCCTCCATGTCATTTCCTATGTCAAATCCAATGTCAAATATCATGTTAAATACCATGTTAAATACCATGTTAAATACTAATTGAGATCCTTTATCACTTTTTTGACAAATTTTCCCATGTCAAACCCCATGTCATTTCCCAAGTAAAAACCTTTATAATTTTTTTGAAAAATTTTCCAATGTCATTTCCCATGTGAAATCTTTTATCATTTTTTTGAAAAATTTTCCCATGTCAAATCCTCTTTCGCCTTATCGAAAATACCCACATAGGAAAGCATATGGGAATCCACATGGGACACCATATGGGAATCCATATGGGAAATGGAATACGATTTCATGTGCATTCTTCCAAATGATAAAACAAATAGATTTAAGCATAGGAAATCATATAAGATTTCATATAGATTCTGAAATTTCAACCTAAGATTTCACATAGATTTACATATAGGAAACGATATAGGATTTTATTCGGGAATTTTTTAGTTGGCTGCTTTATGCAGGCGGCAGATTACAAAAAAATTAATTATTTGATTAAATATAAAATAATAATACTTCAATTCATCTGAAAATAAAAAAAAGTTTACTTTACTTCTGCCTTAGACTCTCAGCTTTTATAGTATTCCAGACTGATCTCAACTGTAAGAGAAAATATTTTCACCATCTGGTGGTGAAACAATGAAACTATAATGACGATCAACATCTATATTGAAATTTCCTATGTCATTTCCCATGTGAAATCCTCTTTCATTTATTCGAAAAATTTTCCCATGTCATATCCCATGTGAATTCCTTTATCATTTTTTTTCAAAAAAATTTCCCATGTCATTTCCCATGTGAAATCTTTTATTATGTTTTGGAAAAATTTTCCCATATCAATTCCCACGTCAAACCTCATGTCATTTGCCATGTGAAATCCTTTATCGTATCGTACATGGCAAATGACATGAGGTTTGACGTGGGAATTGATATGGGAAAATTTTTCCAAAACATAATAAAAGATTTCACATGGGAAATGACATGGGAAATTTTTTTGAAAAAAAATGATAAAGGAATTCACATGGGAAATGACATGGGAAAATTTTTCGAATAAATGAAAGAGGATTTCACATGGGAAATGACATGGGAAATGACATAGGAAATTTCAATATAGATGTTGATCGTCATTATAGTTTCATTGTTTCACCACCAGATGGTGAAAATATTTTCTCTCACAGTTGAGATCAGTCTGAAATACTATAAAAGCTGAGAGTCTAAGGCAGAAGTAAAGTAAACTTTTTTTTATTTTCAGATCAGTTAAAGTATTATTATTTGATATTTAATCAAATAATTAATTTTTTTGTAATCTGCCGCCTGCATAAAGCAGCCAACTAAAAAATTCCCGAATAAAATCCTATATCGTTTCCTATATGTAAATCCATGTGAAATCTTAGGTTGAAATTTCAGAATCTATATGAAATCTTATATGATTTCCTATGCTTAAATCTATTTGTTTTATCATTTGGAAGAATGCACATGAAATCGTATTCCATTTCCCATATGGATTCCCATATGGTGTCCCATGTGGATTCCCATATGCTTTCCTATGTGGGTATTTTCGATAAGGCGAAAGAGGATTTGACATGGGAAAATTTTTCAAAAAAATGATAAAAGATTTCACATGGGAAATGACATTGGAAAATTTTTCAAAAAAATGATAAAGGTTTTTACTTGGGAAATGACATGGGGTTTGACATGGGAAAATTTGTCAAAAAAGTGATAAAGGATCTCAATTAGTATTTAACATGGTATTTAACATGATATTTGACATGGGATTTGACATAGGAAATGACATGGAGGAACCTCGTTTTGATATTTTCCTATGCCAATTCCTGTCCCAATTTCCCATGAGTTTTTATATGGGATCCCATGTGGTTTCCCATATGGGGAATGGGGTTTTACATAGTTTTTGACATAGGATCCCATGTGGTTTCCCATGTGGTTTCTCATGTGGAGATTTTCAATAGGGTAAGAAATCCCAAAACTGAGAAGAAAAATAAAAATGAGACGAATGCGAAAGTAAAGAAAATCACGAAAAAAACTAAGAATATTGAAAAGGAAATGGATGAGAAAGAAGTCGTAGAGGACAATAAAGTCGATCACAGTGATGAGGGTAATGAGGAAGAAGATAGTCAGGATGAAAATAGTGAGAGAGAGGATAGTCAGGAATATAATAGTGATAGAGAGGATAGTCAGGAACAGGATAGTGAGGAGGAAAATGAGAATGATCATGAAGAGCCACTGGCCAAAAAAAGAAAACTGTAGAGTTGTCTCTTAAAACAATTTTATTTTTATTCAAGCAATAAGCTAAATAATTACTTTTAAATGATTCTTCTCGAATAAATTTAAATTTTGATTTGTTTTATTACATACGACTGATTCTGTTAAAAAAATAAATGATTTAATAGTCTTTTTATCAAGAATAAAAAATAATTAAAACCAATTCTAAACATTTTAATTTTTTTAAAGTTTCCAAATATTTGAAAATTTATCATTTCACAAAACAAAAAATTTTTATTTTAAATAAAGTATTTATTTATTAAAAAAAGAATTTGATAAAATAAAAATTTATTTAACAAAAAGACAAGTTAATTATAACAAAGAAATTTTTATGTAATAACCTCAGAAATAAATATTTTTTCAATTATAAAAATTAAAATTTGAAAAGTTTTTGAAATCACTTTTTCATTTTGAAAAAACTAAAAATTTCCATTTTTTATATGAAAAAAATACAATTTTTATAAGTTTTTTGTGTAACAATTGTTTAAAAAATGGTTAAAATTAAAAAAATCTAATCCTAACATTAAATCAAGTGATTTTAAGAAACCCCATACTTGACCCATAGTATGGCCCAACTCGCGGCGAAATATTATCAAGTGTTGGATTTGTAAATGGCCAAAGTTTGACTATGGGATTTGGACAAAACCCATACTTGCTCCATAGTGGCCCAACTATGGATAAAATCTTAAAAAATTTTAATCCATACTACTCCCACAGTTGCCATTTTCACGCGGGTGGCTATGTTTTTCAGAAAAAAATCTCGAAAACGCCTTTCTCACTTAAAAATACACCCTTTTACAAGAAGATGCGCAGAAAAATATCGATTTCTCCTGGAACAGATTATATATATACATACATATATATATATATATAAAATTATATGCAATTTTAAACATTATTTGCATGAAACTATTCAAGAGCGAGGAATCATGCGATTTTGTAGAAAAAATCAATTTTCTCAAAAAGGGACCGATGGATGATTTTCATTTTTGTTGCAAACATCTTCTTTTTTGTTGTAGAAAACATCCCAAAAGAAAAATCTTGGTTATTTTGACTTTTCATAATAATCGCTTAAAACCCACCGGGAGTAGTCTACACTCGTGGGATGCACTTTGAAATTTGCAAAATTTATTTTTTGTAAGCAATAAAAATTATAGATAAGAATACAGCTATAAAATCTTTTAAAAACTCTAAAGTGCATCCTTCAAGATGTTGACTGCTGGAGTCTTTTCCTATCTTATCACTTTCCCACGATAAGCCCAAGAGTTTCTACCGTCAAAAATTATATCTTGTTACATCTGGTCATTTTTTCCGACTTCATTTTTTTCTCAATATTTAATTTTTTCCACGTTTCTTATCTTCTTAAGAAAAAAACAACATCTGTTTATTTAAAAAATCATGTTATTTCTTCTTATTCGCCGATTCATAATGTATCTGTTTTTTCTCTTGTTTTTTTAAGCAGATAATGAAACGTGAAACCTTAGTGGTCAACACCCTACCGAAAGAGAGGTACTGGAATGGTACTGAATTGGACTTGGCTTGAGTTCCACTTCAGTACCACTACCTGATGCATAATAATGTATGAAAATAATATAAATCCATGAAAAACAAATATAATATTGAAATAAATATAAAGTTTTAGTTTAAACATATTGAAAAAGCTAGTCGCTTTTCACTTTTATGAGGGTATTAACGGTAACTCGACCCTTTTCGCAGGTAAATTTCTCAGTTCCATTTCAGTACCAAAATGCACCAAATTAGTACTGAGTTGGTACTGAGATCTCAGTTCCAATTGTTTAAAATTATTAATATAATTTAAATTAATAATAAAAATTAGGAAAGTATTAAAATTATTAAATAATTAACTAAAAATGGATATTAATTAACAATAATTAAATTATATTGATATTAAACAATAAATAGTTATAAATAATTAATATTTTAAATAATTTCGACTTCTATTAGAAAAATTATGTTAAGTTACTATATAAATTAGTGAAAAATAATAATTATTATTAAAAAATAAAAACAAATTAAATTTATAAATTGTATCTTTCTTAAAAATCATCATACAATTAAAATTCAAAAACGAATATGTAAAATAAATTAAATAATAATTGTTAATAATAAAAATTTAGCTTAATTGTAAAAGATGCAAAATATGGACGATATTCCCTTCTTTAATGAATTTATCCCTACTTTTGGAAATCTGTGTTCCTGAAGGACAACCCACACGTTCCAACCTACCCTAAGGGTTGGGTCAGTGAGGCCCAATAGGAAGAAAATGTAAATGAGTTTTCTCCATTTTTTCTTTCGAGTTTTCACCATTTTCTTCGAGAAACTCCAATAGTAAGTTTTCTCAACTCCCTTTTTTCTCCGCCTACAAGAAATTTCCCTTTCTACAAAAAAAATCTCTCTCGTCTTCAAAATCTACCCCAAAACTCAAAATTTGTAGTGGGGACAAACCTTTAAAAACGTATGTTTTCCTAAAATCTTCAGTTATTCAACATTCAAAAATTCTATCAACAAACTCTAAAGAGTCATTTTCAAATTCTTTTAAAAAAAGTTCAACATTATAAGTTTCCAAAATTTAAAGTCATTTTACATGTTATAAAATTTCAATTTCTTTAATTAAAATGTTATTCTGAAAAAGTCAATTATAAAATTTTACATTCAGTGACAAGTTATTTTCAAGTTATTTTATGAATTTAAAATCTTGTTTAAATTCAATTCTTTAATTTCAACATCAAATTCTACGAGTTCCTGTTGTTCTGAGCGCTGTCCAAACAACCAATCTTTAAATTATAAGAAGGACGTCTCCTAATTTTGCATCTATAGGAAATTTATTAATTGAAAATAAAAAAGTAAGTTTATACTTAAAATTTATTATTTCTTTCTTTTTCAATTCTTAATTTTACCCATCTCTCAATTCCGATAAATTTCGTGCTATGGTGCGCGATATTTTATCTAATTCCAAAATTATAAATTTGTATTTTTCATAATTATTGAAAACATTTTCCGAGAAATTTTAGTGCTACCAGTGCGCAATTATTTTCTCAATTCCCTTTAAAATCATTTCCTAACCTTCTTAAATTTTTTCTCAACAAAAACCCAATCGAAAAGATTCCCGTCTAGTCTTAAATATTAATCAATTATTAAATTAATTATGTTATATCTCCGGATGTAACAACATTGAAAATTAGTTATAACAAGACGTATAAGTAACCTCTAACACAAATTTTTTTGAATTTGACTTTAAATAGGTTAATCAATTCTCGTTTTAATGCGAGAAATCACTTTAATTAGACAAAAAAAATTAAATTTGCTGTGTAAAAAATTGTTTGGTTATGAAACATATTTTCGAATTTTTGAAAAAGTGACAAAAAAAATTATGCGGATATTTTTGAAAATCCTTGTGTCCAATTTTTGATATTAATAACTATAATAAGACGACAAAATTTCAGGACATTCCATCAAAGGGTGTTGGAAATAATTTGTACACAAGATTTTTTGGACGTATACACACACACACATCTAGACACTTGTTTATAACTTCAAATATACAATCCAAATAAAAATGAGCATATATATGGGATGTTCCACGTCAAGCGGACCAAAGATGTGCCCAAAATTACACGCAATTTAAATAAACTTATAATATATAAAAATGTTCGTACACATGTAAACTTTCAAAAAATTAGTGGCAAATTAAAAAATTTATAATAATGCTTTTGTTATAACAATTATAAACCATCATAAATGCAAATGCGTAAGTAAAAAAATGTCTCATTTAAAGACAAAAATTTTTAAATCTAAAGTCATAGTTGTTTTTAATGTTTTCGGGGTCGCTGATTACGAATCTGATGTCAGAATTGAAAAATTCAAAATGGCGGATCCAATAAGGCGGCCGAATTTTAAAAGAAATGTTTAATTCGTTTGAAACTTGTTACTCGGGGGTTTTTGGGGTCGCTGATTACGAATGTGATGTCAGAATTGAAAAATTCAAAATAGCGGATTTAATATGGCAGCCGAATTTTAAAAAAATCGTTTAATTCGTTTGAAACTTGTTACTCGGGGGTTTTCGGGGTCGCTGATTACGAATATGATGTCAGAAATAAGAAATTGATTATGTTGAAACTTAAACAAAGAGGGGGTCCTTTTTGTTTATTTCATAAACATTTTGCTTCGTCTTTGTGTAAAGCAAAAAATTTGCTTCCTCGTGGACGAAGCTATGAATTTCTCTAATTCGATTGATTAAATTAAAATATTTCGAGTTAAAAATTGATTTAACCCTTTCGTACCTCCGGTACATATATGTACCACTTACAAAATTTGATGTAACTCTTACAAATTTAACCCAATCAGTAATTCCAATGGATAGTTTTATTGACAATCGTTATTACTATATATTAAAAAATAGAAAACAGTATTATACAGTTATAATTTTTTTAAACAATAGGTACAACATTGATAAAAAATTAATAAAAGTTATATATCAATAATGTTAAGTCATTCATTTAGGCTTCATCCGTTTTTAACAACACATTGACTTTTAATATTTTCGAGGTCGCTGATTACGAAACTGGAGTCAGATTTTCAAAATGCAAAATGGCGGATCCAATATGGAGGAATAAATTTCAAAATTTCACCGATTTCCCTTAAAACTCATCACTCGGGGGTTATTAAAATTATTATTTTATTAAACTAATTATATTGAAATTATTAATATTATTTTAATCACCATCTTAAAATTATATTTAATTTATTTCTTTCATATTACAAATTTTTGTATTTTGTTATATGTAAAGCTTACATCGATTTTGAAAATTCGCGCGACTCACATGATAATGAAATTCATCCACCTTGTTAAAATAGGGTTCTTGGCGAAGGTTCACTGTAAAAAAAACCTAACGCGCCTTATTCGGAACCTCTTAGGTGGTGTGGAAGACCGTCACCGCTGCAAACAATTGATTTGAAAGTGAGAA